ATCTGCGTAGTAGGCTAGAGGCAGGTATTAATAAAAACAGAAGCCTTTGCCTGTAACTGGATGTTATGTCTTGTGTCTAGATGTCCCTCCAAAGCCTCATGTGATGATAGGTGAGGCATTTTCAGTGGTGGCTGGATCTAGAATATGCGATCCTGGAATTGATTCATGGTATAGTGAGGGTGAGTGCTACTCACCTGAAGCATTCCCGATAAGATATAAGGGATAGAAAGACCTATGGTCTTCCCTTGTTGCTTTTGCTATCTTGCGGGTGCCATGAACTGTTCCTTTTTGTAATGTCACCCTGTCTTGACTGAAATCTTTACAAACTGTGAGCTAAGTAAACCTTTCCCCTTTTAAGTTTGGGTGTCGGGTATTTTGTCTCAGCAGTTAGAGAAAGGTAACCAAGACACTGGGTTAGCTGCTTCTTACTGATCTGTAGTCTTGGTCTATATTCTGGTGTAGCTATGCAGTCAGGACAATTTCACCGTAAACATACAAAGGGTTCTTTCTAATGCTTTCAGACATGACCTTTACTGTCCCATGAGTATCCTAGAATTTCTGTATGTCCTGCACATGTGTCTGATCCACATAGACACGCGTGTGCACACACACACACACACACACACACACACACACACACACACACCATAGAACATGTATAATGTTCATGCCCTGAATTTGAAACTAAGTACAAGTACGTTGGCAAAAACACAGGCTTGAAACCTCACAGGACCTGTGACTTCTGCCTCTGCCAGTTATTATATCTATGCTCTTGGGCAAGTCACCCAGTCACTTGAAGTTTGGGTTTTCCCAACTGTGAAATGAGGAAGATGATAATAAAAACTGTGAAGATAGAAAGACATGTTATATTTCAATAGTTAGCTTAGTGATTTGCATATGGAAATGTTTAATACATGGTAGCTATTTTTGCAGTTATTAATATGCAAGACCTCTTTATATATTAAAGATAATTCATTCTTTGGCATGTATGAAGCTTGCATTACTGAATTTTGAGAACCCAGCACAAGGCTTGTCTTTATCTCAGAACTTACTCCTTTCGAACCTTAATGTTAGTTTTATCTCCGTTTTCCTTGGTTTTCCATGGGACCTTGGAATCAGTTCCATCACCTTCAAGATGTAACTTTCAGTGTCCAAATGTCTAATTGTCCTTGTGCTAATACCAATATTCTTTTGAGGTCAGTGACAAAGCCTGGCACCAGAATCCAGCATTACCTAGAGACTATCAATATGATTTTTCCTCCCCCTTGGACAGTCGGTATGGTGTGGTTGATTGGTTTCTTGCCCCGCTGTAATTCCTCCTGAGTTGCTATGGCACCCAAGCCAATATGGCACTGGAGGTCATGTGGTATGGTGCTGAGTCACCATGGCATCCAGCTAATATGGCGCTGGCCACTAAAGGCCATGTGCTAAGCCCCACCCTTCTTCCACTGAGTCGAATTACAACTTCCTACTTCCCTTTTTGTAATATCCTGTTCCCTTCGCCCGTGCTCCCACCCAATCCTGGCCTGCCATGTCAGGCAGTGCGCCTCCTAAACCCCGCCTCCAGCCTGGGGCTATTTAACCTTGGACCCCAGGAACGATCGGTGGAGGCCACGTTTTTCTCTTTCCTGTGGCCTTTCCACGTCCACAATAAAGGCATTTTATTCTGTTTTACTTCTCTCTGCACTGGAAAAACCTGTCAGTGGTGTCACATAGGAGGCCTAGGGGCAGGGTTAGGCCAGTCTCTGCTTGACCCGAGACCTGGAGTCAGTTTCTCAGAGCACAGGGTACCCCCTTGAATGATATGCCTCTAAAAGTGTGATAAGCTGGCCAACCTGTCGTGTCTGAGTCCTCGTCAGGGAACCAGGATGTTACAGCTGGGGGATGAACAGCACTGCTCTGCTGTCCAAGCAGCCCACTGGGATTATAAACTCAGCCCTATTAAAAAGTTACAGGAACAAGTTGAATGAAAAGAAGACACTTTATTTATAAAGAAGAAAAGGAAGGGAGACCAAAAGAGAAGATTGATAGCTACCTTGATAAGAAAGAATGAGGGTAGGAGGCTGTGGAAAGATGGAGGACCTGTGGGCCTTTGTTCCCAGCTGCTCTCATAGGGGTGTGAGTGACTTTCCCCCGTGTACCTGGAACTTCCCATAAGTCAGTTGGCTTCTGGGCAACTCTGCCTACTGTCATTTCTTCTGGTGGTATATATGCAGCTTCTTTGTTTATTTGTGCTTGGCCTACCTTTTAAGGCTTTATCTTTGGGATGGGCAGCTAGTTGACAAGAGCGTACCTTATTCATGGTTAGTGTGGATTTCGTAAAGAGGCATGTAAATGTCTATTGTATTCTATAATGACTCTAGAGGGCATAATATAGTGATTCTAGAGTGAATGCACATGTATATATGTGTATATGTTAGTGCATAGGTGTGAGTACATACAGCCTTAAAGTTAGTCAGTCCCCCTTTGCTTCCCTTTTACTCTGTTGGAGGTGGGGGAGGCTTATCATCTCTCTGTGTCCTGCCAATCAGGTCTTTTTCTGGTCGCTTGGTGTAAGTTCCAAGGCCACTTGGTACCTTTCTTTATCTGTTTTTTCTCATCTTTTTCTACCCCTGACCTTGACTTTCTTCCCTGGCAACATTTCTTTAGTAAAGTTTGTTTTTAACTCCTGCTAGTCAGGATTAGATAGAAGACCTAAGGAGTCTCCTGTTCTATTTTCTTATCTACAGACTCCTGCTCCAGGTGGCTGGCATGGCATATTGCTATGCCTCCTTCTTTTAATGGACCAAGCCAAGTCCTGTTAACCTGCATAACTGCAATGCCCTATCCTGGTCAAAAAGACTTTCCCCTTAAAGTGGTCCCTTGAAAGCATGCTAAACCTGGGCTGGGCAATGCAGGAAGAGGAGAGAGATCCTGAAAGGAGCATGTCTGACTTTCCACTTCAAGCTATCTGGGAGGCTAGGGGGAAGGGAGGGAGACTGTGATGTAAGGCCTGGAGAAAGAAGAGTTTGAAGTCTGGAGTCAGATAAATCTGGGTGTGAAGCCTGGCTACTATCTGATGTGACATTCACCTGGTTGCCTCACACCTCAACCTGGTTTGCTCATTGGCAAACTAGGGAAAGTCATTATACTTGTCTCAGAAAGTTGCCATAAAATTAAATGAGCGTTTCAGCAAAGCAGTTAATTAGATGCTTTCCTGGAATATATTCAGTGCACATTGTCACTGTCACCGAGGCTTTGGTGACAAAGAACGCAGGAAGAAATAGACTAGGGGAGATGAAAAGGAGGCTTGGAGCTTCTGAGCCATTTTCTGGGATCTCCTTGTACTGTGTCTTAGTCTTACAAACACTTTTGTGAGTTCTGAGAAAAGAGCCACAGTTCTAGAGGGTCAGACAGACACTGAGACCCAGCTAATGTCTGTAGTGTCTTGAAGTATCTTTTTTTTTTTTTTTTTTTTTTTTTTTTTTTTTTTTAGTTTTATTAGTACATGTTTGTAATTCATGCAGTTTACAGTCATCTTGGGGAGTGGTTACATGTGCATATTGCAGCTTGCAGTTTTTACTCCCCCTCCCCCTCCTCCTGTGGTTCCCCTGTCTCCTCTTTCATACTCATTGCTATTATTTGTCTTAGCTCATGTTCTGGAGTACAGTGTTTATAGTGATTGGCGATATTAGAGTCCTCTACATGGCACATCTTTATTCCTCTCATTTCCCCTCCCCCTTTTCCTTCCCCCTCTCCTTGTTCCCTTGGTCCACTTCCCTACTGGACTCGATCTGTCCCCTTGTCCCTTTCTATCTATCCTTTATCATTTTCTTTATTGTACTTTGCCTCATTCAAATGAGCAATGCCATATGGTATTTAAGCTTGTGTGTCTGATTTATTTCATTCAGTGTTATATTTTCCAGGTGCATCCATTTTCCTACAGATGCCTCAAATTGGTCATTCTTTATAGCTGAATAGTACTCCATTATATATAGATATCACATTTTCTTTATCCAGTCATCTTTTGGTGGGTATATGGGCTGTCTCCAGGATTTGGCTATTATGAACTGTGCTGCTATAAACATTGGTATGCAAGTGTTTCTTAAGAGGCATGTTGGACTCAGTGATGTTTGTCTTTGATCCATCAAATCAGCCATTCATCAGGAGTAAAGAACATTTGCCCTGAATGATAAAGAGAGCTGCTCAAATCCTTCTTTAGAGCCCTTACAAGTAGGGTTTCTTGTTCAGTTAATTGTTCTTGAGTTACAAAGGGTTTGCATTTTTAAAAGTCTGTATTGGAACCAGGAAGAAGTACCACTACTCCATGTAGAAGATTGGTGGTTTAATTTTCATCATTGCCCTTTTTAGTTTTGGAGGGGTGCTTCGTTTTGTTCTACTTTGTTTTTAAGCTGCAGGGCCCGATATATAAAACAGGTCAAGGCAAACCTGGAGAACTGCCGCATTTGCCCTCCCCATCTCTTGCAGCAGTTCTTGAAGGCATTTCTAAGACAGTAGGGAAACATAGCTTGTAAAACACTGCAGTTGGCTTCCTGGTTTGTACCAGCCTTTTGTTTTCAGGCCTCTTGTTTGGGGAAAAGTCTTGGTCATGGCTGTGTAAACAGGTGGCCATGTTCTAATTGTCTTTTGCTGTAACAAGGGAATATTTTACAGCAGCTCCCCTTTTCTAAGGCCGTAACAGCCATTTGTTGCAGCTGGCCAAATGTTTAGGGAGCATAGAGGTCATGATGTAATGAAGTGTTCTAATCAGACTATGTTCTATAAGCGTCTGGGGGATTCTGAGGCAGTGGTGGTACTCTTCAGAGCATTTCAGTTAACATAAAACATGCTACTTTTAATTTATTTTGCATGTGCACAAACTTTAGGGCTGTTCTACACAGAACCACTTGTATACCTAACCCTCTCCCAAATGACATGGTTTAACCTAACACATTTTCTTTGCATCAGATGTGACCTTTGCATCTAAATGTGACCTGACTTGATTTTTCTTTCCCCTGTAGGTTGCAAATGCACATGTTGAATGGAGCTCTTCTGGCACTTCTGTTTCCTGTGGTAAATACCCGGCTGGTAAGTAGCCCCCTCTAGCCCCCTCTGGTAACATCCAGAACAGTATTTGCTTATCCCTTTGTTATCCAGTGGCTGTCTTCATTCTTAGCCCATATGCACGTGTGATTGTGTGTGATTGTGTGTGTGTGAATATTGAGGTTTGATGTAATCCTGCGTAGATGCAGTGGAGGTTGATGGGACTTGAGTATTCCATGGAAATGGACAATAAGTATTTAAATCAAAAAGGGTGCAAACTAAAAAGGCCCAGAGAAACTGGCAGAAGTGTGGTAGAAAAAAGGAGGGCCGGAATGCCACCCTTCCACAGAGACTTCCAGGTATTCTAAGTGGCTCTCATGTAGGCTGTGCCACATTGGCGTCTAATAATCTTTTAGGGAGCCCCAAAGCCTGTCCACCCTGCCAAGGGCCCCATTGAGGAAGAATTAGATTCCTTCATCATTCACCCAAACCCAGCAGGAGGTGTGAATTACCCCCACCCTGTGGCTAGCAGGGGGAAGCCACTGTGTAGGGGCTCAGTTGATAACTTGGCCTCAAGAGGAGCAGAAGCCACATTGTTGGGGAAGTAGGGCACTCAGATTCCTGCGTGCAGGACTGGGCAGGGATTAGCAGGCCACTTCTAAAAGCTCAGAGAAAGAAATCACCTGTAAAATCATTCTTCCTGGCTTTTGCTTTCATAACTCAAATTTACCTCATACATGAAGGTCATAATTTAACTCAATAATCTTTTTTGGGGGGTAGCATTTTATAGTTCACAAGGCCTTTTTACATAATAGGTGTGGGAAATAGGGCAGACATTATGGCTTCTTATTTTACAGGGGGAAGAAATAGAGGCTCAGGTTGTTGCATAAATTCTTAGTGGCAAAGTTAGGATCAGAGTTTGATCCTAAAACCACAGCTATGTTTTCTTTTTCTTGGAGGATTTATTCATCTCCCCATAGTTGTTCAAGATGCCCTTGTGGTACTTGTACTTTTCTAGATGTAGATTACACACAAGTCAAAGTTAAAAGTGAAAGCATTTATCTAAAGCAGTGATGGTGAACCTTTTAGAATTTTCAGTTGTAAGAAACAGCCCACTGTAGCGCACATGCCACAGGTTCACCACCACTGATCTAAAGCAGTGATTCTGAATCCTCAGTGTGCTCCAGGATCACCTAATGACCTTGGTTTCATTGTTCCACAGCATAGACTGTATCAACACATCACATTGTATAAACACCCTTCAAGTGTATGCATCACATTGTCTTCCCTGTAATTATATGCAATTATTTGTCAATTTAAAATAAAGTAAAAATGGTGGAAAAACAACACTGATACCCTTTCCCACCCTTAGAGAGTCTAAGTTTGTGGTCTGTGATGAAACATGGGCATCACATTCTCACGCCCAGGTGATTCCACCATGGGGCCAGAAGTGAAAGCCACTGATTTTTGTGCAGTGGCGCATAGAGTCATATTAATAACTGAAGCTGGAGGGCCAGGATGTAGTTCAGTAGTAGAGTGCTTGGCTAGAATGCAGAGGCCGTGGGATTAATCCCCAGCACCCCAAAACAAACAAAAAGACTGCTTTCACACACCATAACATTGTTGTTGCTTGAGGCTCAAGAATAGGGAACAGTGTTGGAGCAGAAGTTACTCCTGGACTGTGGAGGTAACCTGCTAAGGAAGAGAAGTGGATGTGTTGCTATCTTACCCCTCTGCTTTCTTATTTTCATTTTCTTAGGAGATTGAATGGTCAGGCAGCTAGAGAGCCACTTTCCACTTCTAGCACCTTTATCAGATTCCAGGAAGGGGAGGCATGTCAGAAAACCTCCCCCAAGACTGGCAGAGCCAGAGATTGTGACTTTTGAGTGCCTCCAGCCCACAACTCTGGCTGTACAGTCTTTACTATCAATTGAGGTGGATATGGTTCCACTAGGCAGGCTGACTCCAGCTTTATTCCTACTAGCATCTTTCCCCCAGTCAACACCAAATAGCCTTCTGCTTGTAGAATCATTGAGCATAACCAGAATTTATGAATCCTATTGTACAAGCATGATAATAAAGACCCCAGAGGGCCTGGTCATGTACCCCGAATCATTACAGAAGCTAGTGGTGAGGTTTTCATTCAGTTAACATTGTTACACCAATGATATATGTCTCACAGGGTCTGCTGATGTTTTCTTAGGCCCTTTATAAGATGCAAGGTACTGCATTATCCCCCAAACCAAGATGCCAGCAGATTGACTTCCTCTGAGGCTTCTTTCTTTGACTCACAGGTGGTAGCCCTCTCATTGCCTCTTCATATGTTCATCTCTCTGTGCACATGTGCCTATAGTGTCTCTTTGTGTGACCTAATTTACTATTATAAGAATATTCATCAGACTGGATCAGAGCCCGTTCTAGTAGCCTATTTTTAATTTAGTCTCCTCTTTGCAGGCTCTGTCTCCAAATACACTCACATTTGGAGGTACTAAAGGTTAGGACTTCAACATACAAATTTGGGGGGGGGCCGGCATAATTCAGCACATAGCACCTATACCACCCTACACACAGACTATTCTGTGTCGCATGCATCCCCTGCTTTTCTTGCCTTACTCTTTTCCTTCTCTTCTTGCCTTACTCTTTCCCTGTCTCCTTTTACCCCACTCATGACAGATGTGCTATTTTATCTGTTAACACTAACAGCGGATACTTTCCAAATCAATATCAAACCATAACCAAGCAGTTTATCCAGAATGTTCAAGTAATTTCCTAGCACTAAAGATTTTATGGTGGGCTGTCTTTTGAAACTAGTGGTTCTAGTCACTCTGATACATCTTTATGCTCTTTTTCTAAGGAACCTGAGCAGATCTTGGGATGTCTCCGTTTCCATGTGCCTTTGCACTTGGCCTTGATCTGCTTCTGTAATATACCTGAAATCCTGTCTGGGCAATTCTGGCCTTCAGGAGTGTTTGCTTTGTAAATCCTTAGTTAAGCTCAGATTGACTTAAAATGAGACACAGGAAGATTGGCAATTCTTTCTTAAATGTGATGATCCAATTAGACAGGAAGCCAGGTTTTGCTTTTTCTTTTGCCATTCTTTCTTGGCCCTTTTATCTTTTTAATCCCTTTTTTAAATTAGCGATAATGAGGAAGCAAGAAAAATAAAGTGAACTAATAATTATATGTTCCAGTACCACTGATCTATATATACTCACATAAATAAAGACAGAGTGAGAATTTGAGCTGTAGTTGCATCAGCTGAAGGACTTAGGATCCTTCAGAGCAGCTAGAAAATGCCCAGATTTCAGTTCCTCCTGGTTCTCCATCTTCAAAGTAAGGCTTTGGAGGAAGAACTACATATTCTAATGGCTTCACTTACAAGTAAGTGATTTTTACTGCCAGGATTCTGAAAGTCTGTCTCGCTTCAGGAAAAGTATCTTTTTTTTTTTTTTTTTTTTTGGTACCAAGAATCGAACTCAGGACCTTGCCAGGCAGGTGCTTGTGCCCCTGAGCTATATCCCTGGCCTGGAAAAAGTATCTTAAAGGCAATTACTTCTGATACACCCTTTTGTTTCTTGTAGAGAAAACACACCATAGAACTACTCATAATTAGATTAATAGAAACTCAAACCTTGTTCATTTAGTCTTATTTTCCAGAGGGAGAACTTAGAGCGTGGGTGGCAAAACTACGGCATGCATGCCATGGTGGGTTGTTTGTATCACTGAAAGCTTGAAAAGGTTCACAGTCACAGATTTGGGAGGAGAAATGACTTGCTGAAGAAGCCAGGGTGGGTGTGCCTAGAACCCAGATCTCCTGACTCAGACTTCAGAGCTCTTTTCCTGTTCCATGGCTGAAATTCAGAAGTTCACACGGTCTGAGGTAAAGTACTGGAGATGCTTCTTAGCTTCCTTCCATTAACAAGAGACAAATCATAGGGTTGTCTGAGTAGGTGAAGAGAAGTATAGAGTCTTTTCCAGACAGATACACAATTTTCTGTGTGTGCTTCTGGGGATGGAACTCAGAGTTTTATGTAGGCTAAGCCAGCACTTCATCACCGAGCTACATCCTTCTGAAAAAATAGTGTTAGCCAAGGGATGGGAGCTAAGTTGGACGCCCATAGAACCTGGCTACATCTTGGATGTTCAGTTATAGTTCCCACATTGCAGAGCTGGTAATCTGGCCCTGGATTGAGGTACTGGGCCCATACTTCATCCTCAGCCCTGTCTTTTGGCCTTTTTACTTTTAACCCCCATGAGAGTTTCTTCTAAGAATTCCAAGCAAATCTACTGTATCAGCCTGCTTCCCAGACTGAAGATGCTAGTCTGGCCTATATTTGTGTTTGCAGCCATCTGTCTTTTACTAGGATTAGAAGAAAAAATGATAAGGATTCTATCCATTGAAATCCTTTCTTCTTCACGATCCAAAGCCTGCAGCATCTAATCGTTTCATAATCAAAACTGCCCATTATTGTGTATCCCTGTTGACCTACTATGTTTACTCCTTTTGGTCTCCCTTTACACCTTATTTTGCCCAGTTCTTTTTCTCTATTGTGTGGTTATTTAAATGTTCTTAACCCTCAGACTGAGTGTAAGAGGTTAGTAATGCTTTTGTTATTACTGGGATGTCTATCTTCTATTTACAAACATGATCGTAATATTCTTGGGGTGCAACTTCACTGCTGTACACCTTGTCCCCATGTATGCTGCTAGAAGAACTTTGCTCTCACTGATGCAAATAAGCTTGCCAATCTCACTCTTTTGTAAGTGACGCATTGAAATGTGCTAATTGACTTAGAAGTGTTTATTTCTGTGACTGGCAAGTTGAGCTGTTTAAAAAAAGTTATAGTTTAGATTTTGGACCTGAACTAGGGACAGAATGTCCCTTTACATGCCTGAAGGCACCTAAAATATAAAAAATGGGTTTCATAAGAGGCCCTAACTTCCTCAAGCATTGATATGGTACATAATTGTTCCTCATCTTCTACAAAGACGGGTGAGTATCTGATCAGATGAATACAGTGTGTCTGAGAATGTCAGTGGTGCTG